TTGCTGGTGGTTTCGAACTGCTGACCTTGTGGTCAGCAGCTTAACTTGTAACCACTACGCCAGCAGGGGTTCCTGTCCGCCCTAAAGGGGGTGTGGATTCTGGCTCCACTGCTGATCCGCTAACCCATGGACTAGTTACTCAGCATCTCTGTGCTTTGCTCTCCTCTCCAGAAGGAAGAGCAAAACAAGTGAGAGTTCAGCGAGCTGTGGATGCTCCCTACGATGGCTGCCCGGCAGGGTTTTTTGGAAGAGTTACACAGTTCGCCATCATCCATAACATTCCGTGACTGGAGGAAATGGTGTCTTCATCAGGCGGGCCTTAAACAGAATAGGAAAGGTATCCTCATGATTTCTTCTGTCTCTTGAGTCTGGGAGAGTCCCCATCTTGGACTTCTGGTTTACCTGTCTGCCTCCTTCCTCGTGGGTGACTGCTGTTCGATCCTGTACCACTAGAGGGCACTGCCGACTCTCTTTTCCTGTACTGCCGGCTGGGAAAGCAGTCATGCTGCCTCCTCCACTGGCTTTGGGGCCTCAGAGCTCCCAAACCCACTTAGGAATCCTGGACAACAGCTCTTTTGGGTCCCAGGGACTCGTGTTCTGCATATGAAGGCCATCAAATGAGGAGGGCAAGGAGGCAGTGACAGGGCAGAGGGAAGCTGTGGCCCTGCCCCACACAGGCTCAGGCCTGCCCTGAGGGCGGGGCATAGAAGGCTGGGGGGTCTTACAAACTGCAGTGACCGCTCCAGCTTTTGTCAAAACCTCCCTCTGGGGCCCCTCCGCCTCTTCATTTTCCTTCTGTGGCCTCCTTGGCTTGTTTTCCTTCTTAAAGACACTGTTGTAAAGTTTCTTCTTAGGAGCTGGGGAAGTATTACTACCCTGTAGGGTAAACGAGGACCCCCACGTGTGTCGTCCATGGCGTCCCCCCAGACTACCCCTCCTATTCAAGGCACAGCTGGCCACCAAGAGCACCTTCTCCCCAGGGCCTTTTCTAGGTAGCAATCCGGGCAGCTCCCAGGGAGGCACGTGCAGGCAGCTGCTCTGGGTCGGTCTGTCGGACTCCCTCTGTCCTTCTCTCCTTCAGACACCAGAAAGCCCTGGCTGGCTTGGAGGGCAGTGCAGACCAAACCCAACCCTGCCCCTGTCGGCCACCTCAGGGTGGCAAGCAGTACTGTACCCCCACAATTAACCTTCCAAGTAATAAAGCCCAAGTCTCCCAGTCTCCCAATATCAATTGGACATCGAATAAGGAAGACCTTAGAGAACAGATGCATTTGAGTTGTGGGGCTGGAGAAGAACAATTGAAAGCTCCGTGGACTGCTAAAAGGATGAACGGATCTGTGGTGGAAGACGTAAGGCCAGAGTGCCCCTTAGAGGCAAGGATGGCAAGACTTCGTCTTAAAAACTCTGGACATGTTGTCAGCAGAGGCCAGTCCCTGGAGAAGGATGTCATGCTTGGTCAAGGGTCAGGGCAGTGGAAGAGAGCAAGGCCCCCGCTGAGATGGACCGACACAGTGGCTGCAGCAAAGGGCTCTGGCCTGGGAGCCACGGTGAGGCTGGTGCAGGCCCAGGCGGTGCACAGGGTCGCCGTGGGTGGCAGCGACAAGTCCTCCAAAGTGACTCTTGGACTGTTTTGCGGGCTCTCCACACCTAGTGATTGGCAGCATCTGTCCCCACAGCCGAGAGGGCTCTGGAAGGCTTTCACTCTCGAAATCAAAGAAAGCAATGCCGGCCCCTCGCTCCGTCCCGGGGACACGGCGTGCCAGTGTGGTGGTAGGCTCCGTGTGTTACTGGTATTATCTGGTAGGTTATTCATTTGGGCCCAAGAATGCTCACAAGTTTCCTTCCCCCACCCCCCAGATAAATGAACAGTGACTGCTTTTCCTTTTATTCCATTTTGGCTTCGGAAGGTTTCATAGGAACACTCTACTTTGAGATAACAGGGGAAACCTGTAAAAAATTAAAAAAAAAACAACAAAAACCCCAAAGAAACCAAAAATCCCCTCTGGCTGACAGATTTCCCTGTGATCTGTCGCCCGAATTAATTCAAGCAATGATACAAATGATTCCTTCTGAGGCCATGAACCAGTTGGGCACACTTTTTTTGGCCATGGCAGTGGAGAGGAGGTTGGGGGTGGGGCAGAAAAGACACTCGATTACCCGTCCTGATGCCAGAACTCTTAAGTAGTGGATCTCAGGCTGTCCCCAACACACCACACCCCAGGACTCAATATTTAATGTTTCTTTAAATAAGGGGCTGTGGCGGGGCGGGGGTTAGGTGCTAGGCTGCTGATCCTAAGGCCCGAGGAGGTTCAAACCCATTTTGCTCCAAGGGAGAAAGACATGACTTCCCGCTTCTGTAAATTCCAGACTTGGAACCCCGCCAGGGCTGCTCAGCTGTGTCCGAGAGGGCCGCCAGATGAGCTGGAATGGATGTGACCGCAAGGCCTTGTCTTGAAATTGCCCCAGGCCCACCTCTGCCTATCTGTGAAATCACAGGTCCGATACACTACGGCACCTTGATTTCCGGTCCACATTAACAAAAACACATGGAAATGTTCTCCCAAGATCATCTCCGTCTGCCACACTTTGGTTAATGGTGTCGTCGCCTTCATTCCCTGGCAACGCGACGCCTTGGGGAGAAAGCTCTCTTTAAACAAAGGAGGAAACAGGCTCAGAGGAGTTTAGCAACCCTCCCAGGGTCACACCGCTCTTCGGTGGGGAAGCGGGGTTTTAAGTAAGTGCTCAGGGGCCTCAGGGTATCTCTGCTCTGCGTCGGGGTCTGGGTTGGAGCCCCTCCACCCCCAGGAAACTCATCACTTACCCGGGCCAGGCTGACTCCAGCAGGGACCTTGTACGGCACGTACTTCCGGTAGATGTGGCCCACCCTGGAGCAGGGGATGTCCTCCATTCGGCCGCCGCACATCCACACCTGCCGGAGAGAGGCGGGGGGAGATGAACTCGATGTCCCTCACAGGCCAGCACCCCTTCGAGCAGTGGTCCTCACCCTTCCTCATGCAGCAGGTCTTTCATATGGTTCCTCATCTGGTGGTGACCCCCCAACCATAACATTATTTCCGTTACTTCATCACCGTCATGTTGCTACTGTGATGAATCAGGCGACCCGTGAAAGGGTCGTTTGACCCCCAAAGGGATCGCAACCCGCAGGTTGAGAACCACTGCCCTGGTGTGTTCAGCCAAAGCATCAGGCTGGAGTGCCTGCTGCAGCCTCGGCTCACAGCACGCACCAGGGGAGGAAGGGGCGGTGACCGCGACCGCGGCCGCAGAGGACTTGCATGTTGAAGCCTCATCAGCAAATCGGCCACATAGGCGAGTCAGTCGAGGCCGCCTCATAGCGACCCTACAGGACAGGGTAGGACTGCCGCTGTGGGTTTGCAGGGCTGTCACCTCTACGGGAGCAAAAGGCCTTCTCTTTCTCTTGCAGTGCCGCTGCTCATTTTGAACTGCTGGCTGTGGTCAGCAGCCGATGTGCAATCACGACACCAGCAGGACTCCAGGAAAGAACATGATCACCAACCAGACGGAGAAAGGGAAGCCCAGAGAAGCTGAGAAACCTGCTCACATGCTGTATTAGTCTAGGTACTTTGGAGAAACAAATCCACAGCAACTCATGTATAAGAGAGAGTTTTATGCAAAGAAAATGTGCATCACGAAAACACCCCAACCCAATGCTGCCCAAGCCCACAAGTCCAACATTAACCCATACCCAACACTAGTCCACAAAGTCCTTCACCTCACAAAACAGAGGCAATAATGCCGACTGCAGGAGGAAAGCTGAGTCAGTGAACGTGTAAGCATCTCAGCACTGGCAGGGGTCTCCACACGGCTGCTCCAGCACCAGGGCTGCATCGGGGTAGATCCATGCAGCTTCTCCTTGGGGATGTCTTGTAGGAAGTCAATCTTGCAAGCTGAAGCAGGGAGCTGCTAAGGCAGCTTGCACCCGGTGCAACCATCACAAAACAAGAGACCCGAGAACTAGAAAGGCGAGGCTTCACCACCCATTTATCCCTCGGCCTTTCAACCAGCCCCACATGTGATTATCGGCCAGGCTGGCACAATTAACTAACTCACATGCGGAGCTTGTGTGTGTGTGGGTGACACAGAGTTTAAGACCACTGTTAGATGACACCAGCAGGTGCAAAGGTCCTGGGGTAGCGCTGAGCTTGGTATGTTCACTGCATAAAGAGAGCCGGAGGCCTGGCGTGGAGGTAGCAGAGGGAATGGAGGGGAGTGGGGCAGGAAGAGGGGTTGGGCCAGCTTGTGAGGGCTTCGAAGGGCAGAGGGAGGAATCAGCCATGGGAAGTCTTCAGGAAAGGAGGGAACATTGTCTATTCCATTGTTCTGGGAAGCAAATGGCCAGCCGGGGAGAGTCCCAGCAGTCTTTTGCATGAGGAGGTGCCTATGGTGATGGTGGGACATGGCTGGACTGGAGACATGCTGTTCACCTGATCAAAGCCCCTCGTTGTGGCCCCCCTCTCCCCACCCTGGTCCGGTGAAGAACCCTGTCCAGCATGAACTGCGCAGTGCACCCTGGGATGAGACCTCATGTCCTCATAAATTCTTCAGGGGCTCCAGGGGGCGGCTCTTCCACCTGGCCCGACATCCCTGCGACCTCTCGCTCACGGCTGTCCCTCTTCCTGAGAGGGGATGTGCATGGGGCTGCAATTAGTGAAATTGCTGTCTAGAGAAATGCAATTATATTCTGATCTGGGGGGAGAGAAAAAACACTCACAAAAACACGAGTGAGTCAATCGAGCAGAACATTGGTCTCAAGATAATGGGCTCCTGATGGTAGATTAATGTCAAGGCCAAGCCAAGAAGTTTATTTTCAAACCAAGAGATATTGATCAGGTGCCAGCATCCCATAACAATAACTCTTCCTTTATACAAAGTGACTGATGGGGAAGGGATGCTTTTGTCGAGTGGATCCTGCCTAGGTGGCTGCCCAGCTGGCCCCAGCCCCGAGCAGGTGGGGGCATCACGTCCTGCTCTATTTCTGAGCATCTCCTGGCTGGCTGGCTGGCTAGGCTGGCATCCAGCTCCTTCCACTTCCTGTTCAACTCGCACTGGCTAACAGGGCTGCGTCTCCATCTCTGCCTGGTGGGAACCTTCCTTTCTGCAGATGGGTGATCAATCCCCAAGTCCTTCTCTTTCCCGTGACCTTTGGTGTCCTGGGCCCTGACCATGGTGGCTGTCAGCCTGTGCATTCCCGAAGCACAGGGGTGACCTTGAGCTGTCTCATGCTCCCAGGCTGGAGCCAGAGGGAGCCCACCCTTTGGACAGTAGCAGGGGGTGACCTGATTGATAGGTTTGACTCCATTTCCAGCCAAGAATGTTTCAAACCAAAACCAAACTCACTGCCGAGTCAATGCCGACTCATACCAAGCCCCCGCCCCGGTGGCTTTTTCCAGACGAACTGTTTATGGGAGTAGAAAGCTCACTCTTTCTGAACTTGGTGAGTGCTTTCAAACAGCTAACTTTGTGGATGGCAGCCCAATGCATAACCACTCCACCATCAGGGAGTGTCTAATTGACATAAAATCATCTAAGTACCACAGGTCCCCCATCCTCTCTCACCTGGAGCCTGTGTCCCAGGTGGCCCCTGGTCTCTGAGGCCACGTTCTTTTCTGGGACAGGGGTCGGTTGACTGGAGCTGTGAGGTTGGGCCTGAGGGTGCAGCCAGCACAGAGGAGGGTGGTGCTGGGTGCGAGAGGGGACAGAGAGAAGGGAGAGAACACCTGGATCTAGCTGTGCTGCAGCCAGTTTAAGACAGCTTTCTGTCACTTCAAAGCTAAGCATCCTCACGGAGTTCCCTGTGCCTTACTGGACCTGGGTTCCATGTGGCAGGGATACATCTGTTACATTTGTCACTAGACGCCCTGTTCCTAGCACAGGTGCTCTGTATGCAGCTGCAAATACATGAGGGATAAATGAACCGAGGCTGAGACCAAGTCTCAGGAAGGGGGGATTTGATTAGAGGAGAAATGGATGGATCTCGTTTCATCATCAATTATTTAGTCTCCGGAGGAAAACCACTGTCTTTGTTATTCTGCCTCTAGCGATTTCAGCAAGACTGCTAAGTCATGGAAGGTGCTCTGGTGGTCTAATAGGCTACACCTTGGGCTGTTAACCACAAGGTTGGCGGTTCAAACCTATCAGGTGCTTTAGGGGAGAAAGCTGAGGCTTTCTCCTCCCATAAAGATTTTACTCTTGGAAACCCAGAGGGGCCAGTTCTCTGTCCTACAGGGGGTATGAGCTGGAATGGACTCGATGCCGTGAATTTGGTTTGTTTTGGGCTATAAGTCAGGACAGAAGCCCTGGTGGAGCAGTGTATTAGGCATTAGCCTGTTGTCAAGTTGGCGGTTCAAATTCACCAACTGCTCTGCAGGAGAAAGGTGCTGCTGTCTGCTCCCGGAGAGAGACACCGTCTCAGGAAGGCCAGGGGGCAGTTCTGCTGTGTCCCATAAGATCGTCCCGAGTCAGAACTGCCTCAATGGCGTGGGGATAAGCCAAGGGATGGGGTTACACGTTTTACTCCTTAGACACAAGGTCCCCTGCCCCATCTCTTTCAGTCCCATAAAGCTCTTGAACTTGCCTGGGTTTGTTTGGGGGGAGCAGGCAGACTAGACACAGTGTCACCAACGTGGTCACCACTTCGTCCCCTTCCTCCCGGTAGCTGACTCTCTCAGCTCTCAAGACTTGAGGGCCTACTGAAGATACGGGATTCCACGACGGGAAGGGGTGCTCCTACCAGCAACACACAGCCTGCTGCTGCCCAGGCTCAAGGACCAGCGAAAAGCCCGAGGCACAGAGTGACGTGGGGGCTCACCCCAGAGAGGGAAGCTGGGCAGATTCCAGGCCACTTACCTCACAGCCATTCAAGACCCACAACAACCACAGCACAGGGGACACAAACACACTGCCGGTTGATGCCCTGCAGTCCAACACACCCTCGTCATCACGTGGCCTTGTGCAAGGCACCGGGCCTGGGGGACCTCCGTCTCCTTACCTGTCAAGTGGGGACAAAAACCACTGCTACCTCCCAGAAGGCCGAGATGGTGACCCCTGCCTCAGCCGCCTGGGTCAGAGTCCTTTCAGCTTGTATGGGCATGAGAGGAGGTGGCTGATGTCAAGCTGGGCAGTCCCTGCCCACGTCGGTGGTACGGTGAGAGCCAGGCCTGGCGAACTGCTCTGTACCCCCCTGCAGCCGAGCAAACCCTGTGGAGAGGCTCTCTGTGCCACATGGGTCGCCGTGGTTGCAATTGACTTCGACGCCACAGGTTGAAATGATACAATGATTTGCTCTTTTGCCAATACCAGCATGGTTTTTTTTTCCCTTCCCAACTGCCTTGCTGGGAAAAACCTCCAAGTGGCCAGGAGGCTCGGAGGGCTGGGTGGGGTAGGCGAGCCTCGCAGGCCCTGCATGGGGCCGGGCTGCCCCAGGCCTTCCCTTCTCACTCCAGCAACCCCCTGCAAGGGGCCACTGTCCAAGACGAGGGGGCGCTGCAGGGAACCCACCATGTTGGAAAGGGGGCATTTCTGCGGCGGCACGCTCCTTGTGGGGTGAGCTGTCTGCTGTAGCGTGTGCGCGTACGTGTGTGTAAGTCACAAGGAGCTCCTCAGCATGTCCTGCTAGCTCGCTTCTCGCCGCCTCTCTTTTCTCCCTGCAGAAGAGCCTTCTTGCTAGACGCTCCACGCCAGGGGATGTGTACACATCTAACTGTGAAAGCCTGCTCCCCATTCATTTTCATTGCTGCTTTGATTTATTTTATTAGCAAACTTCTTTTGTGTGATGACAGGCTTCATTACAGTGTCTATAAAAGACAATTACTTGCTCGTATCTCCTAAACTGAGGAGGAGAAAAAACTGTGGTGATGTGCATCAGGAAAACACAATGGAGC